GCCAGAAACTGACCTTCAAGATTGTTGTCACAGGTGGGAGATATGTTGGTTGTCATCACAGAAAGGTCCATGAATTCCCTTTACTACAGAGCAAAACGAATCACCCTCTAGGGTACAGGGTCTGCATTGCCCAGATTTTCATTGAGTAAGTGAGGTTGATCAGGCAACCAGCTTGCGTGCATCCATTGTCGCACAAATGCCTATAGCTAGATGTCTTCATCTGTGAGATGAATCCGACTCAGCGGTTCTTCTTTTCTGATTTTAGCATAAAGAAAAGTTAAACAAGTTTACATATGCTGTTGTGATTTATAGGGATAAAGGTAGGGTCAGCTCCCAGATGTGTAGAAAAATAAGTCTGGAGTCATGCTCAAGAAGCACCTAGATTGGGCAAGGCTTACATTGGAGTCCAAGTGGCAGATGAGATTGGGTTCTTCTATGTGCATTTTGTTAAGGAACAAAAAGTCAGATTTCTTGTGGATCCATGGGGATGGGAAGAATGTTAGCTCCCAGGACATTGGTTCATTTTGCTCAGAAATAGCTGATGTGTTGTCCTCAGGCTGTACAGAGGGCCATGTCCTGTCTGAGGGTATCTTAGCTGTGAGTGGGACCATGCCAAAATGACAGAGCTGTGGCAAAGTCTTATAAGCAGGATGTTTCATTTGGGTTTGAACACTTTGGACAGCATGAATATATGCGTGATTTTTAAATTGCGTGTCCCACTCCACAGAAGCAGAGGATGCATTTATCAACAAGGACAAAGTGAAGAAAGAGGTGAAAGCTGCACTATCAGAAAACGCCACGCTGAGCTGCGAGGTGGCCCAGGAGAAGACTGATGTGAAATGGTACAAGGAGGGGAAACTGATCACCGCGAGCAAGAAGTTCAAGGTGGAGTCGGAGGGCAAATTGCGTCAGCTGGTGGTGGGTCAGGTGGAGAAGAAAGATGCTGGGGAGTACTCCTGCGAGGCTGCTGGCCAGAAACTGACCTTCAAGCTTGACGTCACAGGTGAGGGTTTATCTGATTACATATTTTTTTGCTATAGCTATAAAGAAAGTTTCCTAGTGACACAGGTTTACTTCCAGCCTTGATCTATATGGGTCTGCAACAGAACTTAAGTGGTTATTGTTAAAGGGCAGTATTAAGGGTATGTGTTTGGATGTTTTGGGAAAGAGAAAAGTCCATTTAGACTGGTATTCTTTCCCTGATTTTGATCAGGAATGTTTATTAAGAAAAAGGATGTAAGAACAAGCATACAACAATCTTTCCACTCTTTAGGAGTCTGTAGTTCCACTCTAACAATCTGTAGTTTCTATCTCTGCTGGGACAGAGTTTTTCTGCCACATGTATACAAGACATGGCTTTGTTGAGAGAATTTGCCAATATAACTTCATGAAAAATTGCGTAACACATCAGATCGGTATTCATAGTTTGTGTATGTTGCTGAATCATCAATGCATACATTTCTGTCCTTGCTGCTAGTTATTTTTGTGGAAAATAGTACCCAGTACTGCCTTTCTCATCTTCCTTGCCTCTGTCTTCCTTGAAAGGGTTATGAGGGAAGAATACCTAAATTTGACGTAGATATTTCTTTTCTGATTATGGACCAAAAGAAAAGGTCAGACACATGCAATTAAAAGCACATCCCAGGAAGTGATGTGGGGCAATACAATTGGATTCAGTGCAAAGACTTGCCTTATCTTTCTTTCAATGGATTCACTCAACACTAGAATCTAACCATGTCTATCTAGAATTGTGTGCATCTACGCAGCCTGCTGCACCAGTCGCACCTCTGACCTTTTTATTTTGGACCCAGTTATGAATGTGATTATTTATCTTCCATGCTGGAGGTGGTTTGTGGCTGGCCTGCTACCAGCGTGGCCCGAGTAAAAGCACTGAGATTAATGTGGCTGCCAGTTGTGGGTCTTGCTGGGGTGCAAGCGGTCATGGTTTAACCCCAGCCAGCAACTGAGTACCGCACAGCTGCTTGCTCACTCCCCCCCTGCAGCTGGATAGGGGGGAGAGTGTTGGAAGGGTAAAAGTGAGAAAACTCATGGGCTGAGATAAGAACAGTTTAATAATGGAAATAAAATAAAATAATAATAAATTGTAATGAAAAGGAAAATAACAGAGAGAGAGAAATAAAACCCAAGAAAGACAAGTGATGCAAATGAAAACAATTGCTCACCACCAACGAACCGATACCCAGCCAGTCCCTGAGCAGCAGCCCTCTGGCCAACATTCCCCCTAGTTTTATTTCTGAGTGTGACATCATATGGTATGCAATATCCCTGGGGTCAGCTGGAGTCAGCTGTCCCAGCTGTGTCCCCTCCCAACTCCTTGTGTACCCCCAGCCTGCTCACTGGTGGGGTGAGAGGCAGAAGAGGCCTTAACTCTGTGTAAGCACTGATCAGCAATAATGAAAACATCTCTGTTTTCAGCACAAATCCCAAACATAGCCCCATCCTAGCTATTAAGAAGAAAATTAACTCTATCCCAGCCAAAACCAGCACACAAGCTCATTTGGTTTCATTCTGCTTGCTCTGCTATGTCTGCATTCTGTGCTGTACATTGCTGGGGAGTGACCCGACAAGGAAACTGGAGACAAATCTGCCTCATTCTCCTTTGTGTTTGGCAACTCTCCTTTGTGACAGAAAAACTATGGAGATACTTATTCCATGGCTCAGTTATGTGACCTTTTTTCTATAGCTCTACGCAGGCTGTAGGAATAGTATAGGGTGAGACCTATAGATCACTATTTTATTTCAAACAATGAATGCATTTGATAGCAGAAGCTGTTGGAAAAATTGTAGTAGATTATAAATGAAACTGTGAAAGGCAGAAATTAATGAAGGATCTTATCACACTGAAGGAAGAGCTCTTCTTAGATTCTTGTGGAAGGATCTTCTCATCTGGGACCAGGAGATCTTTATCCTCTGCTGGATGCAACAAGGCGCTGAAATGCCCTCAGCAATTGTTTGTGCTTGCAACTTAGCCCAAAAGTCTGTTTCTGAGCAAAGCTGTTGACAGCAATAATGGAGGGGGTTGCATGAGGCTTTTGGATGAAAACCCAAAGATTAGCTTGCTTTTAGGACTTCTGAGAAACAGTCATATTCATGAGAGAAAATTCCATGGCTTGGACTGGGGGTTCACTTTTTTGGGAAATAGCACCGTTCTCTTCAGGTTGACATAGGGGGGACCTCAAATCACCAACCTTCTCTGCATCTTACATCTGCTCTGTAAACAGGGATAAGAAGCGTCCTACCTCATGGAAGTGTTTTTGATATCACAGGCTTTGAGGGACTTGGGTACCATGGAAAGGGGGGCAGGCATTTTGCCTGCAATTTATAGATGAGTGTTGCCCAAGCCTGTTGCTGCCAAAGAGAGGCCATTACTCAGATTTTGGAAATGGGTAAATACAAGAAAGTAGAACAGAGAAGAATAGGCTCCCTCTTGCCACTGAGAGATTTTTACTGGTCACTTTAAAGGCAGAAATGGTGGGACCCAGTTGGGTTCTCCTTCAAGACTCCCAAGGAATTATACTGTAGAACCAGAACTAGAAAATGGATCTTCTGACCCTCTGTGCTTTAACCCTAGATCACCTTTTTGGTTTCTTTTTTCCCCCACTTTACTGTTGATTAATGATACAGCTGAGCAGGAGTACCAACTTGAGTTTGTGTAAGAAGTACCATTCCCCTGAGGGAAATTCAAACAACTGAAAGCCCTCACTGAAGAGAGTTGCCCAAGATGGAATGTAACATGTGAGCTTAGGAGTCCCTCACTCAGTTAGCCTCCTTGTGTAACTTCCATTGCTTTGTATTGAAGGGCAAAACATCTACCTAGAGTGAAGGTGAGGGCCAAAATGAATGAATTAGCCTGTAGGAGAACACTTTCTAGGAGCACTGGCTTGTTATCTTCAGAAATGTGATACGAAGAGCTCTGAAACATGAAACCCACACTCTGCATCATGGCCCCGCTTCTTCCCTTGTCAACATATATTTCTGGTGCTAGAGTATCCCTCGCTAGGTGTCTTAACCTCATTCACAAGCTTGGATCCAGCCTGACTTTTGGCAAGTCTTGCTTTATTACTACAGTTCCTGACCCCAGAGACACAGCTTTCTGGCAGAGCTGTCCTTTTCCCCATTCCTTATTTGTGCTTTGCCTTTTAAAGGATTTTAAAGGGTCGTTGCATACTTTTTAGCTGGCCTTGCTGATCTTTTCCTTCCTGCTTTTCCACTGGGTAGGATGTAGATTCTGAACACTTCAGTGTGAAGATACCAGATCCCACATTGGTTCTTGAACAAATCATTCATCTTTTCTTCCTTAATTAGTTCTCATAACTCATACAAGTTTGCTAGTTCCAAATACGTCTGTTACAGAGATATTTTTGTTAATTCCTGTATTTACTTTAGGCTAGACCATCTTACAATCCCTGTATCCAAGGTTATTTCCCATGCCCAGCTTCTAAAATTACGTTCTTGGAATTTACCAAAATCAAGCCTAAAATCAAATTACTGTTCTTAATTCAATGTCTGCCTGATTGGAAAATTTGACAGCTATTACATCTGGAAATCCAAGATGCTACTGGCACAGCTCCAGTGGAGGCAACCAAGATGACTAGGAGGCTGGAGCACATGTCGTATTTATTCAGGCTGGAGAAGAGAAGGCAAAAGGGAGCTTTTATTGCAACCTGTGACTATCTAATGGGAAGATTTAGAGTCCACATCTCCACATTCTTCTCAAAGGTGCATGGTGATAGGAGAAGCAGCAAAGTATACAAGTTGGAACATGGAAGGTTCTGAAAAGATATTAGGAAAAACTTGCACCATTAGGGTGGTCAAGCTCTAGAACAGGAGCCTTGAGGTTGTGGGATCTCCATCACTGGAGGTATTCAGAACACAGTGGGACATGGCCCTAAGTAACTCAATGTAATTTTATCTGCTGTGAGTGGGGAAGTGGGACTGGATGACCTCCAGAGATCACTCCTAGCCTAAATTATTTTATGACTGTGATTTTCTACTATTAGTAGCACATGTTCTGTAAAATATGCCTGGGAACTGATGCTGTTCCATAAGGACACAACTCCATATAAATCTTTGTAAAGGTACTCCAGTTGTTATAACCCTTATCATTTTTTTCCTGAAAATTACTTGGACCCAAATATAGGGACAGTGCTGGCAAATGAAGGATCCTGACTGGAGTTATGTCCTGTTTACTGTGAATATGCAGCCCAGTCATTTCTGTGAGTGAACAGAACTTGCCCTGCTTCCCCAAGAGAACCCATCCTGCTTGGCCTGCAGAGAGTGACCGTACAGAGTGTGTGTAGGAAAGTTGGTGTAAGCCTAAAGATAAGGCATGGCAGTTCTTCTTGCTTCCCAAATGAGCAGCAGACAAGAACTCTGCTGTCTGGAAGCAAGCTGTTCCTGCCAGAGCTTCATCAAGCATTTGCTTAACTCTGACTCTGTTAGCCTTTTTAACCTTACAGCTGCTTTATTTAAACTGTAGTCTAACAGGAGGTCTCCCATTGAAAACCCAGTACCATATGATCTTGGAGTCAAAGCTTTAATTTTCATGGCCTTTTTTCTAGACTTTTCCTTCTTTCCAATCTTGCAGATGATGTGTTTGAACACAAAGACAAAGTTCAAAAGGAGGTAAAGGCAGTGCTGAAGGAGAACACCACGTTGAGCTGCGAGGTGGCCCAGGAGAAGACTGATGTGAAATGGTACAAGGAGGGGAAACTGATCACCGCGAGCAAGAAGTTCAAGGCGGAGTCGGAGGGCAAATCGCGTCGGCTGGTGGTGGGTCAGGTGGAGAAGAAAGATGCTGGGGAGTACACCTGCGAGGCTGCTGGCCAGAAACTGACCTTCAAGATTGTTGTCACAGGTGAGAGCAGATTCTTTGGCCCAGCCTTCCTGTTTCTAGAATATTTAGAAAAATGAGTATTATAATTATTACATATCTTTTATGTAAAACATTATAAAACCGTGAAAAGAGGGAGCTGCATCCTTGGAAAAACTTTGGGAGCTACCCATTGCTGTAGGACAAGGGCTGTGGAACAGGAAGTACTGGTTGCACATCTCCATCCTGACATGTTGGTGCAATGAGAACAGATCTGCACCGCAGCTGATTGTCAGTGCATTTCAGAGCAGGGTCATGGTGGAGAGTGGTAGGTTGTGTGCCCTCTTTTTCCTTCTCTTGGAAGGGCTCATTTCAGGTGGAGGGGAGAATATGGCAGTAAGGTTTGGTATATGTTAAGGTCTCTAGGTTGTCGTGTCAGTGGCAACTAGGGAAGGAAGGTGTCATGGAGCCTCGTTCGAGATGGATCACCCTGCTGGGGCCATAGAGTGGTAGAATGGATTCAGCTTTCTAACTCCCTCCCTGCCTCCTGGTCCTCTTGCAAGCAGGCTGATTAACATCTCTCTCTCTCTCTTCAGAGCCAGAAGACATGTTTACAAACAAGGACAAGGTCCAAAAGGAGGTGAAGGCTGCACTATCAGAAAACGCCACATTGAGCTGCGAGGTGGCCCAGGAGAAGACCGATGTGAAATGGTACAAGGAGGGGAAACTGATCACCGCGAGCAAGAAGTTCAGGGTGGAGTCGGAGGGCAAATCGCGTCGGCTGGTGGTGGGTCAGGTGGAGAAGAAAGATGCTGGGGAGTACACCTGCGAGGCTGCTGGCCAGAAACTGACCTTCAAGCTTGACGTCACGGGTGAGTGAATTTGCTGCATCTGTTTTACCTCCTGAAAAAAATGAAGGAGAGAAAGTTATGTAGCTTGGCAAATTCCATCCCAGCAGGCAGTGATGGAGCCAGTAATAAATTCTGCTGTTTTACTCATGTGGTTGTGTTCCAAGTATTAGATCTGTCTCCCTTCTTTGAAAACTAAGAATGCAGTAGATTTCCATAGCCCAAGGCCAGGGCAGGCTGAAGATCTTTGGGGAATTTCCCTGGGAATCTGGTGGAGATGTACTGATAACAAAATGAGAATTCAATAATTACAGGAGAAATTAAAGGACACAGAAAGTCTTCTGAGCACAAGTGTTCTCTTGCAAATGCTCCTTCCTTAAATAAATTGTCTCTTTATGATGGAGGAAACCATTTTATTATGGCCTCTGCTAACTCAAAGGACATACTAGAACTGGTCTCAGAAGCAGTAGCTGAGGAAACCAGCACTCTTCACCCTGGCATTAGCAAGAACAGGATTTAACCTTGACATCCCTCAGTTGGATCTTGATGGTTTTAAAGCAGATTGAGGAGTGCCTATATTAGATTGCTTTTTGATTCTGCCATGGTGCAGTGTTAAGTAAATACCACAGGGGCAGGCTAATTTTCATTCATTAGAGAAACATAGTTCTGGGATGATGCATCTTTGGAACATTTGGGAAATAAGGATATAGAGACAAAACAGGCTCACAAAGTGTGTTTCCCAAGACTAGCTTTGCTTTTGCTGGCAAAGAAAATTACAGCTCTTGGGTATTTTGGACAATTTCATGCTTGTCCTCTTACAGCAAACAGACTTCTTACAGACTGCATCCACTGGTGTGCTGCTGGACACTGGGATATGTGAACTTCTTTTCTGCAGATTTTGAAGAATGATAGTGGTGGAAATGAAAGCAACTTTGGGGTCATCTAAGCTGTCTTGGACTACCAGTAAAGGAGTCCTTCACTGGCACTTGATGCAGTCCAAATGTTAACAATTCAGTTGAGGGTGTTGGCAGGGAATGTGAATGGGAAATCCATCTAAGCACTACAATCCAAAGACCAATGCGTGCATTTGGGAAGGGGTGTGTGTGTGTAAGATTAATTTTCTAAATCTGCCTCCGTACCCTTAATTCCAGAGGTGGAAGATGCTTTCATCAACAAACAGAAAGTGAAGAAAGAGGTGAAAGCTGCACTATCAGAAAACGCCATGCTGAGCTGCGAGGTGGCCCAGGAGAAGACCGATGTGAAATGGTACAAGGAGGGGAAACTGATCACCACAAGCAAGAAGTTCAAAGTGGAGTCGGAGGGCAAATTGCGTCGGCTGGTGGTGGGTCAGGTGGAGAAGAAAGATGCTGGGGAGTACACCTGCGAGGCTGCTGGCCAGAAACTGACCTTCAAGCTTGACGTCACAGGTGAGAGCAGATTCTTTGGCCCAGCCTTCTTATTTCTGGAATATTTAGAAAAAAAGAATAGTATACTTATTACCTATCTCCTCTGTAAACCATTACAAAATCATTAAGACAGGATGCTCCATCCTTGAAAAACTTTGGGAGCTACCCATTGCTGAAGGACAAGGGCTGTGAAAAGGAAACTACTGATCGCACCTCCCATCCCCACATGTCGATGCAACCAGAACAGCTCTGCAATGCAGCTGATTTTCAGTGAATTTCAGAGCAGAGTCGTGGTGGAGAACAGTAGGGTGACTGCCCAATGTCTGCACTCAAAACCCAAAACAAACAAACAGAACCTCCACCAGAAAACAGTTCTCATGTTCTTCCAGTAGCTTTAGATGTGCATTGTCAAGTCAGAGGCTTGGTTTCCAGTGTTACCTGTAAGCCACGACAAGGGGATTGGGCAACATCGTATCTTGGAGAGAATTTGGATTTCTCTCTCTTTTCAGAGCCAGAAGATGTGTTTACAAACAAGGACAAGGTCCAGAAGGAGGTGAAGGCTGCACTGTCAGAAAACGCCACGCTGAGCTGCGAGGTGGCCCAGGAGAAGACCGATGTGAAATGGTACAAGGAGGGGAAACTGATCACTGCGAGCAAGAAGTTCAAAGTGGAGTCGGAGGGCAAATCGCGTCGGCTGGTGGTGGGTCAGGTGGAGAAGAAAGATGCTGGGGAGTATACCTGCGAGGCTGCTGGCCAAAAACTGACCTTCAAGATTGTTGTCACAGGTGAGAGCAGATTCTTTGGCCCAGCCTTCCTGTTTCTAGAATATTTAGAAAAATGAATATTATTTCATAAGATTTTTTTCCTGTTGCGCTTCAAATTTTTGGTAAGATCATTGGGATGGCCTAGCTCTGATGTGGAAATGTGACAAAGAGTTACAAATACAGTTGTCTTTGTATCTTCCATGTAAAACATTTTAAAACCCTGAAAAGAGGGAGCTGCGTCCTTGGAAAAACTTTGTGAACTGCCCATCGCTGTAGGAAAAAGGCTGTGGAAAAGGAAGTACTGGTTGCACATCTCCATCCTGACATGTTGGTGCAATGAGAACAGATCTGCACTGCAGCTGATTGTCAGTGCATTTCAGAGCAGGGTCATGGTGGAGAGTGGTAGGTTGTGTGCCCTCTTTTTCCTTCTCTTGGAAGGGCTCATTTCAGGTGGAGGGGAGAATATGGCAGTAAGGTTTGATACATGTTAAGGTCTCTAGGGTGTCGTGTAAATGGCAACTAGGGAAGGAAGGTGTCATGGAGCCTCGTTCGAGATGGATCACCCTGCTGGGGCCGTAGAGTGGTAGAATGGATTCAGCTAACTCCCTCCCTGCTTTCTGGTCCTCTTTTAAAGTTGTATGACTAATGTGTGTTCTGGAGAACAAGAGGATTTCACCGTTTGGATGTAAGATGAGCTTAGCTTTTCTCAAGGTTGCATGAGAAGTAATAACAGAGTCCTGAACACATTAGTCCTGGTCTAGCACCCTTCTCACTTAACAAAATGACCTAAGAGGCAACTACTGAGAACCAAAGAAATCAATGATATGTGACTGTGACACAGCACAGGACAGCTCCTGCCTCTAAAAATTCATTACTTTGCAATCAGCTTCAACCAAAATGTATCCTGCCTCATCTGACCCTGCCATAGAAGGATCTTATGAACCATCCAGGCAATCTTCTAGCTTTCTGCCATTGGCATATTAATTTTTGTGTGATTAGTGACAAAGCTTTTAAAAACACAAAAAAACAAACAAAACCCCCCAAAATCCCACCACACAACAGTCTTCATGTTCTTTCAATAGCTTTAGGTGTGCATTGTCAAGTCAGAGGCTTGGTTTCCAGTGTTACCTGTAAGCCATAATAAGGGGATTGGGCAACATCGTATCTTGGAGAGAATTTGAATTTCTCTCTCTTTTCAGAGCCAGAAGACGTGTTTACAAACAAGGACAAGGTACAAAAAGAGGTGAAAGCTGCACTATCAGAAAACGCCATGCTGAGCTGCGAGGTGGCCCAGGAGAAGACCGATGTGAAATGGTACAAGGAGGGGAAACTGATCACCGCGAGCAAGAAGTTCAAGGTGGAGTCGGAGGGCAAATCGCGTCGGCTGGTGGTGGGTCAGGTGGAGAAGAAAGATGCTGGGGGGTACACCTCCGAGGCCGCTGGCCAGAAACTGACCTTCAAGCTTGACATCACGGGTAAGACATACCTTGCCTGAATTACATGAGAGGATAATAAAATAATAAGTATTACACTATGACCCAGTTGCAGTAGTCTGGGCTTTGCTGCAGCCTGTAGCGTTCACCTGATTTTCTGTACCTGGTTGCCTGGACTTGTAGAAATGGGAATATTCAGCTTTAGCATGGCTTAAAGTCCTATCATGTTCTTAGTCTGTGTCTATAATAATAGTTACAGATATAACAGAAATAATAATCAACATACTATTGAGATCTCTCCCATTCGTGGGATCCCAAAGTGTGATTCTTGTGCATCGAACCTCGTGAAAGGAAAGACTTGTTCAAAAATCCTTTTCTTGTTAGACTGCCAATCCCACTTCTGAAAACTGAGAGGCTGGAATATGTTTTGTCATTTACAATTTCAGCAGTGGCATGCCTCGAGATAGGTTGAAAACTCAGCACTTTTTCTGAATTTGGGCTGTTGTGTGTTTGAGATCTCAGCCTTCTGAGATGCCTTACTACTTCTGCCAGGTGCTAAATGTCTCTTTGTATGAAAGACTCCCAGCAATTGGTCTTTTGGAACAGGATTCTCAAGGTGCCCAAACCACTTTAAGCACGTGATGCTAAAGGGAGTGTTGCCATTGCAACAATCTTGGGTAACTTGCCAGCCATGATCCTGACTTACCCGAGCACTGTAGGGAGACCATATTTCTTTTGTCCCTTTGACAGTCACATTTGTGACAACAGAAGAGACCATGAAGAGTCTGTTCCAGAAGCCCATAGTGCTATATTTGTGTCCCAGGTCTTAAGTAAAAGGAATTTGGGAGCTTTTGGTGATTTGCAGGACAGAAGTTCTTTGGGAACATTTGAATTAAATATTTTTTGCATGGTGGCTTGCAACCATAGGGTTGATGTCAAGGACCCTCTCGGTCCTTTCCACTCCTAGGCTTTTACTTCCCTATTTTCCACAAGGTGATTTGGTCATACAGAAGGGTAGATATTGCCCAGTGAAGGCAACCGGTTTTGGAAAGTGACAACCTAAATATTTTCCAAACCTGTGCACAGAAATCTGTAAGATTGATCTCATTTTAATCCCTCAATCAATATTTTCTTCCTTTTCTGTGCTCAGAGCCAAAACCTGCATTTATAAACCAGGAAAAGGTCCAGAAGGAGGTGAGTGCTGTCCTGACCGAAAGTGCCACCCTCAGCTGTGAGGTAGCACAGGATGCAACTGAAGTGAAATGGTACAAAGACGGAAGATTGCTCATTTCCTCGAGAAAATTCAAAATAGAAACTGTGGGCAAAACCCGGCGCCTGGTTATAGAGCAGCTGGAGAAGAAAGATGCTGGAGAATACATCTGTGAGGCTGCAGGCCAGAAGCTGACCTTCAAGTTGAAACCAACTGGTGAGGAGTCACCTAAGCAGCTCTCTTTGTGGCTTAGAGGAAAACTGGATAGTCCCTGCCCAGTGGCCACGGTGCAGCCACCATTTTCCCTGGAGCAACATCGGTGAACCTTGTCACACGTTAATTTGACCTTTTTAATCTAGCAGTGTGGAGGTGGGAAATTTGACTGAAGGCTTTTTTTTGACTATGGAAATGCTATATAGTTTTTTGCTTAGCGTCTCCTTTGCACACCCCATCACCCAACTTTTAATTGGTGGGAAGCTGAAAATAGAAGTGGGAAGTTTTGAAGACCAGAAATAGAGCTATGGAGAAAGGTGACTAAGAAAAGCTGGTCTGCTGCTAGTGTGTGCCCCCAAACTGCGCAATTTTGTGGCAAAGTGTTGTACAAGACAGAGAAGAAGCCAAGAGAAAGGGAATAGAACAAGCAGAAAAGAAAATAGGCCATAAATTCAGCTTTAGCATATGAATATTTCTTCTTAATTAGATCTAAAATCCTAAAAATGGGAGAGGAAATAATTATACAGGTCATTTTACTTCTAAGAAACAAGCTTTTTGTGGGCAGCAGATAAAATGTGTGTTTGCATTTCCTTTCCTTTGCTTCTCTTCTAAGCAGAAGCTCTGGGTTGCCTGAGAGATCATTTTCTTTCTTCCCACTCAGTAAAAGATTACACCAGCCACAATTATTCAGCCATATTCCCTGGGTTATTACAGGTTATGGATGAGCTGGTGTTGTGAGTCATGAAGAGAGAGTAATAGAAAATCGCTGTTGAGGATTTGAGATTTAAGTTATTAGTTTTCCTATTTTAATGTCTTTCCTAGAACCAGAGGCTAAATTTGAAAATAAAGTTGTCCAGAAAGAGCCTCTCATTGTTCAAGAACATGAAAGCATCACACTGACTACTTCAGTAACGCCTGAAACTGCTGCAGTAAAGTGGTTCAAGGATGGAACAGAAATCAAGGCGAGCAAGAAATATGAGATCAAGAGCGAGGGGGCATCCAGGACCCTGACGGTGAACCTGGCTGAGAGCACAGACACTGCCGTGTACACTTGCCAGACAAAGAACGACAAGCAGGAATTCAAAGTAAAGGTGAAAGGTGAGCAACGAGCAGTGCACAGGTCATGTCCCAACCCAATGGCTATGTTTCCCTCATGGTAGGGTGGAGGTGAAGTCCAATCTCTCTCTAAAACTGTCCCAACCTCAAGGCTTGAACTGCTGTTGCAGCTGCTGTGGCTGGCCCACCATGGGCTGGCAAAGTTCTCCTGCTTCCAAATACCCAATTTTTGTCCTTTGCTGGCCACTCAGGGGAACAAGGAGGCCTACGACAGGTGCTTTTCCTGGTGTCTGCTCCCCACTGTCATCATGCTGTTTCTGCCTCCTCCTAACCCCCGTAGCTGGGCTATGACAGCCTTAGCTTTTCCCCGCTCTGCTCACAGGCATGGCAAAGCTGATGAGGATATAGAGGAATGTTGTGTGATGAGAAGATTTGTGAGTTAGTCACACGGGGAAACAGGACCTGAATTGTGTCTTCCTCTGTTCCTGGGATGGTGCACCTGGGATGCTGTTCCCTAGTCAAGGCTAAGGCTGTAAGTTGACAAGGAGGACAAAGTACAGCTGGTCCACAGATGGAAATGAGAAGGGTGATGTCCCAGAGCAAAAAGCCTGCTCCTTTCTCTTCAGATACTCACACTGGAGATTTCTGCAGCTGACATGCACCCCCTCAGCTCCCTTTGGAGTCGTTGTGGAGGAGTGGTTGCTAATAGGTCATGATACATCTGACCTATTGAAATGTCTCCTTCGGGATGAAAGAAATCACAACCTGGATTTCCTTGACTCCATTGGCTGTGTCTCCAGTGACAGAAGAGACAAAGGTGGCTGGAGGTTGTGCATCCATATGGATTTTTACATTTGTTCAGGCAAATCAGGCTCTGATGTAAAAACACCACACAGTCTCATTGGGTATGAAATTAGAAAGAAAGGAAGGCAAAACCCAATCCTGTTTAAAAGCACTGTTCTTGCTTTACAGAATGATAATGATATTAAAATTGATGTCAAAGGAATCTCCCTAATTTTCCACCTTTCTGCTTTGTCTGTCTATCCTGATCCCCAAATTTGTTGGGTTTTTGTTTTTCTTTTAAAGTTGGCCAGAAACGGTTTCTTAGAACAGGTTTCTTCTCTTTTTCTTTCTCATCATTTTTTCCTTCTTCGGCATCTCAGAAATCCCAGTGAAGTTTACCAAAAAACTTGAAGCTGTTAATGCTGAGATTGGAGGCAGTGTCTCTTTGACCTGTGATGTGAGCCATGCCAAAGGGAAGGTGGTGTGGTGCAGGAATGGAGTTCAGATCAAGCCCAGCAAGCGTTTCCAGATTCATGAGGAAGGGGTCAAGCGAACACTGACAATAACAGGCATCCGGGCTGAGGACGAGGGAGAGTACTCCTGCGAGTCCAGAGATGACAAGAGCAGCATTACCATCACCCCCAAAGGTATGTCTCTAGAACTGCATGGTGACAACATGGAGGGATCCTTGGGTTTTGTCCTCAACCATTACAACTCTGCAAATCTGAGCTTGGTCATGTGTTTGTGCTGTCTCCTGTGTTGACAGCAAAACACAAAACTCCACTTCCTCTCTCAGTGTCAGTGGAACTTCTATTTGTGAAGAACGTAATGATTTTTGGGACCTGTTGAGCTCTCTTAATATGTGGGAAAATTGACCTTCATATTGCATTTGAGGCTGGAATTAAGTATCCCAAATCTAAAATGGAATTTTTTTCCCCTCTTTGTTTTCATCTCTCTTCTGGCATCTCTATACACAAAACTTACTCAGATATGGGAAACTTAATGACTTGTGATCAATTGTGTAAGTAATAAAAATTGATGCTTCTGATAATATCACCTAAGCTTTTGGCTCTTTGAAGGTGTTTTATGCCATGTCTTAAAGATGTGCTCCTAAATGTTTTATTCCTATCCATTAGCTCCCAGAGTGGTGAAATTCGTTACGAGTCTCAACAACGTGGTCTCTGAGGAAGGAAAAGAGGCTGTGTTCAAGTGCACTGTCTCTCCCAGTGATGCTGTGGTCACTTGGCTCAGGAATGGTGTCAAGATTGAAGCCAGCAAGAAGTATGTGATCTCGCAGAAGGACACGAACCACAGCCTCACCATCACTGACCTGACGCTGGAAGATGCAGCTGAAATCTCTGCCAATGCTGAGGGTGTAGAAAGCACAGCCAATCTCAGAGTCCGAGGTAGGAGGTGATAATGTCCCTTTGACAGGCTGTCACTGATGCTATGTGGCCTTTCCCCTGACTGATTATGACAGCAGTAGGGAAATTCTGCTTTTGCATCATTAAATATGGATGCCCAGAATGCATTGGGATTGGAGATACATGAGCCACCTTTTTAATTCTCTCTGAAACCTTGATTTCTGGATCCTCTACATTCTTACTAATATTTCTTCTCCTTTGGCAGAGGCCTCAATCTCATTCAAGAAGAAACTGGAGCCCAGAACAGTTGAAGAGAGGGACACAGTGACCTTGGAGGTAGAGCTGACCAAGCCTGCAGAGGTGAAGTGGATGAGGAACAGCATCGTATTGAAGCCCAGTGAAAAAATAGACATCAAAGCTGAGGGAACAAAGCATACCTTGGTGGTTAAGGACATCTCCTTTGCAGACAGGGGCTTCTACTGCTGTGAGAGTCCTGATGACAAGACCCAAGCCAAGATCAATGTGGAAAGTAAGTTGAATGATTGCCAGTTCTATAAATACCCTGAACGGGGTTTGGAGGTGGACTCTGGTCTCTTCCATTAACATAACAGCCACTGCCACCCCCACTTGCCATGGGGACATGGGGACACAACCATGGGCTTGGCCACCAGTCAAATGACTGAGAGGAGGTGGAAGCAAAGGCAGTAAACAGAGAGTGGCTGGCTGAGTCTTATTGCCTCCATCTCATCCCACCAGCTTTCAGTTACGTTGTTGACCATTAAGCTTCTCAGGTGACTCTTCTCTTTCCTCTGAAATTTCTCATTCTCTGGTACACTCTTTTTTTTCTTTGTATGGTTTTTAGCAAACCATTGCCTCTTCAGCCATCCATTGCCCTAATTCTTCTCTGCAAACCATCTGTTTCAGAATGTCTCTTTATAGTCAGTCAGTGTTAAAAATACTACAAAAGCAAATCTTCTATCTGAGGGTGCTGCCCTTTCAAGTAAGCTAATGCTGTCTCAGTTGTAGCCCTGTACTTCTGTTCTTTTTCCTACATCCTTTTGTCATGATTGTTACAGGATAGATGAAGACAGGATTTAAGCACTTAAGGACTATCTAATTTTGCCTGTAAAGCCCCTGCCACCAATTGGTGTTGTGTAGGTCATAAATAATAGGTAAGGAAGGACCTGATAACGGAATTCAAGTATATAAAGGATGTTATAAAGTGGCAGGGAACAATCTGTTCTCCATGTGGAAATAACGCCAGGAAATAATGGATTTCAATTGCAATGAGAAAGATCCAGGTTATACAATAAAAAAGCTTTTTAATGGTTGGATGACTGAATAGGTTGTCTGAAGAGGTTTTGCGGCCTCCATCATGGGTTTAAGAAAAGGTTGGTGAAGTATCTGTCTGGGATGACGTAAAGAGCTGAACATGTCCTAGAGCAGGAGAGAAGAGCTAGATGATTTTTCTAGGTCTTTCTAACCTTATAATATTGTGGTCTTCTGATGGTATCAAAGATATGAAAAATTGATGACAGGCCGTCTCATACGGAGCGGGGTTTGTCAAATCACTTTCATGCACTGCTAAGGCAGCTTCATCTTCAAAAATCTTCCTGGCTGACAGTTGTCAAAACCCCACTGCTTTAGCATCCTGATATGGGGCAGTTATCACTTCTGTTGGCAGTTTCTCATCTTTTTTCCAAACTGAATAGCTCTAGAAAAAACCGAGACATTACCAGTGACTAGCAGCTGGTAGATTAGGCTTGGATTCATGCAGCCTAAATCTAGCACATCAGTTTCAGCTCCTTCTGTAGTCAACAGAGAGGAAAAAAAAAAAGACCTCCAGAGAGTGTTTTAATCCTTAGATGCACTGAATTACCTTTGGAATGTCTTTCTGGCTATTCAAGGAACCATGGGTGACTATGACCCTGACTTAGAACTAGATTCAGGTTTACTGTCTCAGTTAAATGGGATGAACTGGGTCCACAGAAGATAAAGAAATATAGCACTTGTGTGGTCACAATGTGTTGGAAGAGTGCAGTGCAGCATGGGGCAGTTTGCTGCTCCATTCTCTTTCACACATTGCATCCCAAGATTTTGTAGGAGTTTGGTGTTTTGGGTTTTGTTTTGTTTTGTTTGTTGTTTTTCTTTTTTCTAGACTCTGGGTGTTACTCAGCTGCCTTCCAGCAAGATGTTTCAGCAGTTGGTTGTAGATTCAGTTATACCTGGTTTTAGGCACTGGCTGTTACTATAGCCAAGTAGTAAAAAAAAAAAGATGGAACACTGTTTATATAGGAAGTAATTGGGTAGTCCTGATAGCTGCCAACAGTGTTTTGTGCAGGGTGAATCATGCAAGCATAAATGTGTATCTGTCTCTGGTTTATAAACTTCCTATTCTGATGGAGAGAGAGGATTTTGGGTTGTGCTTCCCGGGCTCCCAGCTGCATTGTCATCACTTACCCTTAGTGTCACTGTAAAAAGTAGCTCCTCTGTTGATGAACTGAGATAGTTTCATGCAGTGATGGAAACTCAAAGTGATCTGAGAATAACCATGATCAAAAAGAGGAATCCGCTCACTGTAGCAGGGAATTCTTTTCCCATATGATCATTCAAGCCTTAGTGATGAGATGCAGCGGGAAAGGGGCCATATACAAGAATCTCGCTAGACTATTTGTATTCTGCATCCAAGTCCTCCAGCTGAGACAGCACCAAGCTCTCACACTGCTTTACAGCAAAAGCAAGACTCTAAAAGTAGAAGTCTAAAATTATGCTCTGTTTTTTGGCATTTAAGCAAATGGCCTCTTTTTAGCAGAATGTGTTAGGGCTTACATTGAGGTCAGCAGAAGTTCTTTAAATGCTCACAGTCTGGGGAATTGAGCTACTACTATTTGGTTTAGGTATTTTGGTTTATTTGCTTTAGGTTAAGAAGCCTGATTTTAGAGGACCTTTATTTAAAAAACACCAAGCTGGACTGATACTGTTTGGTTTGAGATTGCTTTCAGAGCAAGGTAAATAAGGAATGGCTATGTGAAAATCATTAATTTACTGCAATATAAAAGCTGATTCATCAAAAGATAAGCATCTCTTCTGATCTTAAGATGCCAGGAGATCCCCAAAACAACTGGGCTGCTCAGACCAATAACATATCTGGCTGAATATGTATTTTCAGTTGTGACCAGGAGGAGATGTTTGTGGAAGACTTAAGTCACGGGTAAAGTGATCCTTCCTCTGGTACACCTCTAAGCTTTCACCAGGGAAAAGCATAATTAGGTCAATTAATTATAGCAGAAATTATACTGGGAATAAATCTCTTGACACAAAATATTGTCTATTAAAATAAATCCTGTAAAAGTTCTACCACTCCCCAAATGTTGCTGCTTTATGACAAGACCTTTGAAAAAGTTGTTTTTGGGGGGGTTTTTTGTTGTGGTTTTTTTTCCCCCCTGTCCTACATACACCTCCAGGTGAGGATATATCCAGGAGGCCACTTACTGAGTTAGAAATTGCTGTGCTGTTTAGTTAATGCTACGTAGATAGCAAGTCCCTTTTGCTATCTCCTTGGAATAATTTCAGTTTGATCCTTGGTCTAGCCACTGTTTGAGGGGCTGGTGTATCTATTAACCTAGGAGAAAGGTTAGACAGTAGCAGGTATATCGTGTTCAGTTTAGTGAATGAGGTACCCTGCAGGAATAGGGATGAGCTGCAAAATCAGATCAGAAATCGGGTGCTGATGCAACTTGTAGTGAGCAGAGTCAGGAGAGCTGGTGTCTTAGTTTGGGAAGCAAAGCAGCAGCTTCTGAAAGCATCTGTACTTCCCTCATTTGTCTGGTTCCAGAAATGTCCTTGGGGCAAATTTGTGTTTAAGTGGTTGTGACCTTGGAGAGGACCATGGGAGAGGAATCAGTGTGGTTTCCTAGAGAGAGGGGCTAGACAGGATCCTATATAGGATGTCTATGCTCCTCTGTACACCTGATGTGAGGTGTAACAGCAACAGAGGGGATGGGAAAGGTGTAAGGAGCTGGCTTTACATGGAGTTCACCACTGCCCTCCTGGGGAGAACAGTACTGTGCTTCTCTACCCAGTTTGTTTTTAAAGCACAGTCTACTCATATCACCTCTGTGGGACCTTTGTTCCCTGTTGTCCCCCATGTCCATAGGGGTAGGTGCCATCAAGAGATGTGTCTTCAGCCAGTGTCTTCTGGTGTCCTCAGCCCAGGAGCTGGGTCCAGGCCATGACCATGGAACAGAGCCCATAGCACACTCCTGGTCACGTTTGCATTCAGATCCTGGCTGAATGTGCATTATCTCTGCCAAACATGCACAAGAAAGGTGAAAATATTCCCAGGAGACCCATGGGGAGTTGAAGGTTTTTGTGAGTAATTCATGGCTTTGCAGAGGGGTGTTTTTGTTGTGGGTTTTTGTTTGTTTTTTTTTTGTTTTTGTTTTTTTAAATTGGCAACTTAATTTCTTTTAAGTGTGAGTCAAGTTTAAATACTAAATCCATTTTACTGGCTGATAGGGCACTCATGTCTTGTAGTGGGAACAGGTAATATCCACCCAAAACACAGATGTTTTGTCCCCCAGGCTGGGAGGTGTCAGCGCACTTTACACTGTGTTGTGGACTTTTTCTTTTTACTAAAAGCTTTTTCCTCTCCCTGCTACTTCCCTCCCCCCCTCCCTTGTTTCATCCTAATTGAAGAGCTGCACAATATTGATTATTCTTTTATGGTCTATTAATCTCTAGTGATCATCTTTCTCTTGAATCATGCTTGAATAGTAAGTATTTTCAACAACACCCCTCACTGTCCAGCAAGAGCCTGGTCCCAGTGTAAATAATAACGGTGGTGTTTTCTTCTGTAGTGTTTCTTCCTGATGGTTGTTGGTGACCACCTCACCCAGCACAGGAA